GTCTGACACACACATAGGATCCCTGCAAGTCAGCTGACTCTGGCCATTTGCTTGAGTTTGGGATGTCAGGCAAACCCAAGAGTCCCAGTGTGACTGTCTCCCCCCTTCCCTCCTCTCTTCCCCTCACAAGGTGCGGCCCCTCCCTCCCCCTGAGCTGTGAATCCCTGCCTCCCCCCCACGCTGCCATCTGTACTTGCAGCCAGCTTCATCTCCCAAGAAGTTCCCAAATCCATCCCGTTCCCTCGCTGGCTCCTGGCCACCTCTCACCACCTCCATCTGTAGCTTCTTCCCCTAGCTCCCCTGAATATTGCCCAGCAACGGCTCCCTGTCTGGGGGCACCAGGGGTCCCCTAATCACTAAAGGCTGGCTGACGGGGCTAGGGATGTGTTCGAAACTCCAGGAAGGAACAGTGTCCCCATGGGAACAGGCCAGTACTGCCCAGCTCACTTGGGAACGAGGGAGGTCCTAACAGGGGTGGGCGGGTGCCTGGAGCCTGGGGGAGTCCAGCTGCTGCAGTTAACAGCTCCCCATCCATGACTGGTCAGATGCTCGCCCCTCTGTGGCCACTGCACAGTCCATACAGGTTTACACAATGGACGGGAACTTTAATCTTGACCTCAAGCAGCGGGCTCCTCCTCCAAGGGCGGCTGGTGCGGGGTGGGGGCGGTTTCCTGAGTAGGGGGTTCCCCAAGTCTGATCCCACCCAATCATCAGGGTCAGGCTTGCCTCCTTGCACTTAGTCTGGTCTCTCCTGAGGAGAAGACACACACACACACACACACACACACACTTTTCAGGCTTCCTTAGATGTGTGACTCAGTTTTCCCATCTGTGAAGTCAGGGCAGGAGCCCAGGAAACTGTAAAAAGGCAGAAGGATGACTGGGCAGAGGGCTCTGAGCAGGGAGAGGTGCTTCTGTAGTCTCACTGCTCACCTGCTCTAGCAGGCAGCTCTGGTGGCTCAGTGGTAAGAAGCTGTGCTGCAATGCCGAATGCCCAAGGTTCGAATCCACCAGCTGCTCCTCCCATGTGATTTACTGCCTCTGTGACCCCACAGCTCAGTTAAGAGCCTATTGGGAATGTGTCCTGCACAGGGGCCTTCCCTGCTATCAGAGTGGCCACCCCCACTCTCAGGGTCAAGGGCCTCACACAGGGGCATAGCCAGCCTGGCCCTCTCCACCCTTGACCTGGTGATGTCCACAGCATCCTCTGCTCTGAGGACAAACCTGTGGGTGCTGTCCTGCCCGCCAGTTGGTGTCTTCAGGTGATGTCTAACTACAGACAGAAAGTGCACAGTCATGCTCACACTCTCCAGTGGACCCCACAAGGTGGTCAAGGTCAGCATCAGACACCCAGGACAGGGTGGGACGCCGTGTCCACAGGAAGACACGAGCCCAGTGTCACTGCAAGTGGTCCCTGTCCCCTGGGACACTGGTGAGGCTCTGGGCAGCCTGGCAGCCCCCAGATGGAATCTGGGCCTGGGTCTTGATCCTGATGTGCAAGGACCCTGCTCCACTGTTCACAGAAAGATGTCTCACACCAGCACCCCTTCTCCCCAGCCTCACCCTGCAAGGACAGCTTCCTCCACATTCTTGCTGGATGGATGGGCTTAAAGCAATACAGTGAGATATTCTCGTGGCCCTGGCCAGTGCTCCTCCATTCTCCCAGGGCCACAGCACCTCCAGACCTCCCCATACCTCCCAGTGCCACCAAACCCTCTCAGTGCCTTCCCCAGCACACACTCCTAACTGTCCACTGCCCCTGGTCCTCAGGACAGTGCCAACATGTGTGGTTGGCCCTCTCCTAACCATCTGGCTCATCCTCATGCTGGCCAGCCAGGGAGGCCCAGGCCACACTCTCCCAGGCCACCTTGCCAGCTGACACCAAGACCCTTCCCAGCCCAAGGCCTCTATTCTCCAAGACCATTGTCAGCTGTGCTGCCCAGTGCTCGCTGGTTGTTAAAGCACTAGGGATCTTGTGCGTTGACTGTTAAACAGTTATCATTAAGAGCTAAATTATGTGAGCTTATAATTCAATAATTACATTAAACATAAAATAACAAGTGCATAAAACGTATCACTTCTGAATGACTTTATTACATTTTCGCTCTTCTCCAAAGGAGGCTCTCTCCTGCAGTGGTTAGGCACAGGGCAACAAGGCAACAGATCAAAGCAGAAACAGCTACAGTTGGGGGGAGGGTGGGGTGGGGTAGGGGTGGGGGGGTAGCTCTAGTCGGTCTGAGAGCTCTCTCCAAGTCAGAGTCCGCTCCACAGCTCCCTCACAAGGCTCCTCTGCGCCTGTGCAGGACACTGAATCAGTGGGTCTTGGGGTATCTCTTCCACCCCCACCTTCAGGGAAGTCCTCTGGGCAGACTCAGATTGGCTCAGCACCTCCTCCCACCCCACTGGTGGCCTGGGTATGGAATCAGGCTTGACAACTGGGCTTCCTGCATCTGCCTCTCCTCCTCCAAGGTGCCTGGGCCCCTCCTATGCACAAGGTGAGCCTTGATCCCAGACAAGCCTTATTCTCTTGTGCTGGGATCCCCAGGATCGGATCTCCTCCCTGCCTGAGTCCATCTTCATCCAGGTCTGTGGCATGAGACTCGCTCGGCTGTGCACTCATAACGGTCCCCAGACCCCCCACATAGATGGGCTCACGCTGGAACCAGAGTCCTAGCCCCCAAGGGCCGCCTTCTCCACGTGGGCTCCACCTTCACTGAGATCCCACTGCCACAGACCCTCCACCCACCCGGGTCCCACTCTCTAACAGAGGGATCAGCACCTAAGGTGCTGGAGTGCAGTCTCCTCCCCTGCCTTGCCCCCACTGGGGTACAAGGTGACTTGGCCTCCCTCTAGGCTGGAAGGCCTCCAGCTGGAAGACGGAGGGACAGCCCAGAAGACCACTGCCCTCCAGTCTCTGGTATGCAGGCAGAAGCGAAGCTGTCTCCTTCTTCCCTCAGGCCCGCCTCCAGAGTGGCCCCAGAGGCAGAGCGATCTGCCAGCAGCTCTGTGTACAGACTCTGCCTGGCTAGTCCTTCCAGGGCCCATCGCACAGAGAACGGCTGGAGGAGGGGAGAGGGGAGGAAAAGAAGGGGGTTGAGCTAGGCTCACATCCTGCCCCAGACACTCACTCCTTCCCCTGCCAAACCCCATCTCCCAACAACCCCTACCACCCCCACCAGGGACCCTGAGCTGAACACAGCACGCTGTCCTCCGAGGGGTCCCTGTAGTGCCTGAAAGTGGTGGGCCAAAGATATGTGGGAGCATCCAGGACATCTTGAAGCCCTGGCTGCAGCTGAGACCCCAAACCCTGCAGCAGGAAGACCTGGGGTGGGGAGGTGAGGAAGAAGACAGGGTCTGGATAAAACTTGCTCCCTGAATCCTACATACAGGATGCCAGCGTGCTCACTTCAGCAGGTGTGTAGGACCCCTCTGGGCCGGGGCCTGTCACTTCAAGCCACAGTAGCCCAAAAAGCGCTGTGTGAGGGTTAGTGGGGCTGCCCTGTGACTTCGTGGAGCCCAACCTTGTCAATCTCTGACCTCAGTTGACACATATGTACAATGGGAACATGTCTGATGGGCCATGTGAGAGGGGCCCTGGGCTCTGACCGCCTGGTTCACAGTGGGTCCAGGGAGCCAAGCATCTCCGCTCGAAGGGTGCCAGTGCGTGTGAAGGGGTGTCCAGCACAAGATGGCCGGGGACAGCTCGCGCAGCTCCCCCTGCACGTGCCCTCTGGTTGCCCGGCTCACAGAGGACAGAAATGCCATCAGCTACACGCAGACACAGAGACAGCGGCTCGCGCACAGCGCCGCACAGAGGCCAGGCCGCGAGCCAGGCAAGGAGGGGCGTGCTCGTGTTTATTTACTCATCGGTAGTGAATAATTTCACAAGGATTTCACTATATGACACGAACCTGCTCACTACCGATAGTGCGTAAGCCGCGTGGCCTCGTTTGCTCGGCTTTTGGTCCGGGGGACTGTAAAGCGGAGACCACGGCGGTGCAGCGGGGCTGGGAGAGCGACGGGTGCCAGCCTTCCCTAGAAGTCGTATCTTTAATGTGAAAAACAAACTATTCACTACAGACCAGTGAGTAAGCACCAGCTGGCCCGTGCTTACCTCGCTCCCTGGGTAATCCGACACCGTGCGGGGCGCGCAGGCGCTGGTGGGCCGGGAGCGGAGCGGAGCCCCGCGGGCGGGCCCGTCCCCGCGGCACCATCTCCCCGGTACCAGCCGCGCGGGGCGGGAAGGGCTCGCGCCTGTAGCCGCCCCTGGTTCCCCGCAAGACGGGGCTTTGTGCCGGGAGTCGGGGGCGGGGCGCCCCGGAACAAGGCGGTCTCTCGGGGAAAGTCTCCAGACCTGGCCTTCAGCAGCTTTCCGGTCATCCTGCCAGCATCCAGGAAACGCCGAAAGGCCCGCAAGTCCTCTGGGGACTGTCGCCGCGCGGCCCCGCGAACGCCCCCAGCCCGGCTCTGTGCCCAGGACCCCGCGGGGCTCCTCGGGCCAAGTAAGCCAAGCGGGCTTAGAGCGCCCACTCCCCCCCACACCCGGAGCTCCGTCGGGGTCTGGGGACACCGCGCAGGGCTGGTGCCCCCCACCGAACCCTCTCCCTAACCTGGGTCGCAAGGCGCGTCCCTCCCCCACCTCCGGCTGCTTCTACACGGGCTCCCCCGCCTCGCCAGGTGGGAGGGGCGCCCGGCGGAGTGGGGCGGGGGTGCAGGGGTCCGCGCCGAGCACCCGTGCGACCCCCGGCGGCCGCGGGCCCGGCCGCGCAC